TCAGTGGTGCTTTTTAATCAATGCAACTTATTCCACAGTTCGTGAGCCTATTGCATGTTACCGGCTTCTGGGAAAGGATTTCCATGTTCTTAAAGTGTCTATGAAACACTCCTAGACAAATTAATGTCACTGTCACAGATAAGTTGCTAAAACTGCATACCTTCACATTAAGGCAAGCCCTGGAGGTTGGAAGTGGGCTTCCTTGTTTTGTTTTTTGCAACTCTGGGGCAGTTTGCCAAGATATTTTTAACAGGGAACTCTAGGATTTGCTAGCATTAAAAACGTCTGGGTTTATTTGATCATTTCCCAGAGATACACATAACCACAAAGACAGCAGGGAGCATGTCAAGATAGATGAAGTTATGGGCATGTGTGAGAGAGTGCCTGCAAGCCCAGGCTGCTGACTCACCTGGTGGCCATCACACCAAAGGGAGACCTGCTACACTCCATAGTGACCTGCTGTCCCAATGAGGCTGAAGCAAACTTATACCCACATAGGGCTGGGTCCTCACGTTGACAATGGTCCACAGAGCTGTACGTATGGGCAGTGAACTGTGAACTGCTTTTGTTCTTTGAGGCTTTAGGTGACAGTGGCACACAAAATGCTTCTCCTTAGAAATGCAAAGTATCTTTTGGAAGATGGTCTATTTATTTATATATCTGTACAGTGTTGGGAATTGAACTCAGGGCCTCCTGTATGCTTGGCAAGCTCTCTACCACTATACTACACCTCTAGCCATCAGCGACAGTTTTTTAAAGCCTAGGGTTTTACCTGCTTGTGTGCAGTGTTGGGGTGGAAGCCAGGGCCTCGTTCATTGCTAGGCAAGGGCCTCCCCACTAAGCTACAACCCACCCATCATTTATTCTGTGCAACTCTGTAAGGCACATGCTACTGTTACGTATGTTTTGTACATGAGGTAAAATGAGAAAACCAAGCCTAAGAAAGGTTAACTTGCCCACAGTCACATGGCAAGAAAGTGAGTGAGCCCAGATTCAAACTCAAGCCCTGTGTCTTATTTACTATGCTAAAAGAGTCACTCAGTAAGATATTCCAATATTAGGCTGGGCGCTGGTGGCTCACACCTGTAATCCTAGCTACTCAGAAGACAGAGATCAGGAGGATCATGGTTCCAAGTCAGCCCTGGCTGACTCAAAACCCAATTTCAAAAAACCAATCACAAAAAAGGGCTGATGGAGTATGGGTGTAAGCCTGAGATCAAACTCCAGTACTGCAAAAAACAAAACAAAAAAACAACCACCTATCCCAATATTATACTATCACAACCATCACATAAAATTTGAACTATCCAGAAATAACAGCAACAAAAAATGCATGGGATAGTATTTTAAGCGTTCAAATTTTTATTTATTTATTTGATAAGAGGGATTGAGCCCAGTGCCTCTCTAAGCACACATTCTGTACTGAGCTGCGTCCTCAGCCCTCACGTCTTTTATTGGGGGACATAAAAGGTTTGAACCCATGGAGAGACATACTGTGTTCCTGAATGAAAAACAACAGTATGCAAATTATCATTTTGAATTGAACCCAACTCTTAAAAATCCCATTGCACATTTCATTTGGAAGAATAACCGTGCAGATAGCCAGGACAACTCTAACAGAAGGAAAAAGAGCAAGTGCAAGGTGGATGGTAGTGTTAGAAGGTTCACGCTGTTGACAGTTAAAAAAGTGTACATCTGGAACCAAGTAAGAATTGTTAATGGAACAGAATAGAACATTCAGAAACAGCCCACAAGTATGTAAACATTTCATATATCATAACAGTTGAGTTTCATAGCGAATGGATTATTCAGTAAATAATCTTGAGACAGCTAACGCATGGGGGAATCTATCTCACATTTTATGCTGAAATTTCAGGTAAGTTTAAATGTTAAGGGAAAAATGCAGAGAAGGTATAGGTTGATATTCTATAACTTTAAGGAGGGGATAAGTTTAAAAGCATGACAAGCTGAAATCATTAGAAAAGGATAGGCTTTTGTTTTGGGTTTTTTTGGGGGAAGTGGATAGATTGGTAGTACTGAGATTTGAACTCAGGGCCTCATACTTGCTAAGCAGCCATTCCACCATTTGAGCCAGCCACCAGCCTATTTTGCTTTGGGTGTTTTTCAAATAGAGTCTTACATTTTTGCCTAAGTCAGCCTGGACTCCTATACTATTTACAATTCCTGCATAGCAGGGATGAGAGACTCGGGTGACCATGCCCAGCTATTGGTTCAGATGGGGTCTCACTAACTTTTTACCTGGTCTCAAACTTTGATCCTCTTGCTCTCCACCTCCAAGTGACTGGGATTACAGGTTTGAACCACTGTGCCTGGCCCAGAAAAGCACAGATTTATCTACACTAAAAACACAAAATTTCTGCTGACCATGGTGACTCATGTCCACAATCCCAGTTATTCATAGGCAGTGGAGATGGGAGACTTGTGGTCTGAGGCCAGCCAGAGCAAAAGCTCGAAACCCTATCTGAGAAATAAAATGCAAAAGCAGAAGGACTGGACACATGATTCAAGTGGTAGAGCACTTGCCTAACAAGCGAAAGGCCCTCAGTTCAATCCCCAGTCCCACCCCCAAAAAACCCACAATGAGTAAAAGTAGAACAAAAATGTCAAACGGAAAGAATGTTTTGCATTAAGTATGATGTACAATAAATTATTATTATTAATACCAAGCCAGTAAAAAAGATAACTGTCTCATTTTAAATTTGAACAAAGATTATCAATAAGTGACTCAGCAAAGGAAGAAATTACCAATTAACATTTGAAAAAATGTCAATATAATACCATTTCACATATTAGACTTACAAAAAATGAAAATGATAATATCCAGTGTTGGAGAAGATGCAGGCACAAGGATATTTCTGTAAAGAGAAATGTAGGGAGAATGTAAATTGGACAAAACTTCTAGGGAGGAGGAATAATTTGACAAGAGACTGTTAAAGCTTTAAAACTGCATTCACCTTGACCTTGTGATTTATGCAACAGTAATGATTGAAAGTACTTATGAAAAATTGGAAGTAGTGTAATTGATTAATAACAAAGGATTGGCTAAAAGCATTTGGGGAATCTGTTCAGATCATGGAATGCTCTGTAGCCACTAAGAAGGCATTGTGTGCTATATCTATTCTTTGTGGTGCTGGGGTTGTGCCTTGCACAAACTAGGCAAGTGCTCTCCTGCTAAGCCACACCCCCACCACAAGTACTGTGTATGTATTAGCAATCAAAGATGTTTATATCTGAATGAGAGTGCAGAAAAGTAGGTTACAGAACAATATGCATAATATGATCCTGTTTTTGTCCAAAAAATCCCTATCACAGAAACAAGTTTGGGACAGTAAGTACCAAAGTATTGGCTCCAGTGACATTACTGGTGTTTTGTCTTGGTTATTTGCATTTTCTATTTTTTACAATGAATATGGACTGGTTTTATAACAACTGGAATTTTGCCTATTGCTCTCCAGTTTTGTCTTCTACTCTACTTAGAGTGACTGAAATGTCAAGATAAGGCCACAAAAGAAAGCTGTAATTGGAGTACCTCTACTCTGTACAGATGGGCTTCTGGATCTTAGAATCACTATCTCACTACCACCCACTTTCCAAGAAGCAAAACCTTGCCCAGGTTAAGACTTGTGGAGTAGGGAAAGGGTTTGTAAGTGTCTACTTGTCAGATAAAATGGTTCTTTCCTGGTGGCAGCGGAAGATGTTGGGTAGCAAACTCAGGACCACTCAAGAGCACATGGTAGGTAAGCAGTCTATCCCTGAGACACACCTCCAGTCCCCCAAACCTCTTAATTTAGCTCCAGGATTCCATGTTAAATAAGGTTTGCCATACAGGTTTTTTCCTTCACTTTCCTGCCTCAGAAAAAAAATCTTGCCTTCTTCCCCCTCTCTTGGCTGGTTATCACAGCTTCATCCCCATCTTACCAGCTGACACTGGCACCACACACAGACACACACCCAACATGTCCCTGCCCTACATGGTCAGATCTATCTATTGGCCATCAATAGTTTTTTTGAAACACATGGAGCTTTGTTTTGTTTTTGAGACATGGTCTTCCAATGTTGCCCAGGCTGGCCTCCAACTCATGGGCTCAAGTGATCTCTCTGCCTCAGCCTCCAGTGTGTAGGGGACTACAGACACAGGCCCCCACCCCTGGCTGACACATGGTGCTTTACCAAATGGAACACTGATGGCGGAGGCAGAAGAGTATGGATTACCGGAGACCATGCACACTGTGAGCTAACTAGATACAGGATCTGTTGACTATTACCATTCGAGCACTTCCTTAGAGACAGAATCCACTGAAAATAGACATGTGCTAGAATTTGAGTGAGGGGGCACAAGACTAAAATGAACAGAAGGAAAGTCCTGCAGCCTGCCTTCCAGGAGACGGGGCCAGGGGAGCACCATCCCACTGGGGAAAAGCCGAGCAGTCAGATAGTTGGCAAAAAGAGCTGAGCTTGAGACAAAAGCACAAATTAGCCAACAGCATGGTCATGTTCAAATATTAGGTCTATAATTTATGTCTGATCACACCCCACCATGCCTGATGATTGAATTCTAAATAACACTGGGGAGGCACCTTCAGATCCTCTGTGGGTAGGAAAAACATGGTATGCTGAAAATATACCAGGATCACAAACTCTTGAGGGTAAACAACACATGGAATTAAAAAGAAAAGACAGTTTGGCATCTATTCATAGAGATTGGGATTAAATTTAATTAAAGGAGGGAACCCCCGACTCCATCTGGTTCTCCGGGGAAAGATATTAACAAGAGCTGGGGATTATTTCTTGGCATCCATGAATTTTCTCTTTAGGGACTGAATATGAAATTCATCCTGACCTTTGTTTTGGAAGTTGTGATTTGGACAATGATGGCTTTCTGACCCTTTAGGGTCTCTTGAGTCACCTCTACATGCCGAGACCACCTCTCCTTTGCACCTTGGAAATACACTATTGTTTTTTGTTGTTTTTTTTTACAGTGACAATGAATCCTAAAACTGTGTGGTGCTGATGTTTTCCAAGAGAAGTGGTCCCTGAGGGAGATGCTGGGCCTGCCAACAGAGGACCAAGAGGATATAATTTTAATTAATTGCAAATCAACAGAGACACAAGAACCTTTTGCTGCTTCCTCCAACACCCACGCTTGCACCGATGGTATCACCAGCAGGTGGAAGAACGAGGGATTGAGAAGTGCTGGGAAAAGCCTGGCTGCCAGCCAGCTGCTCTGAGGGTGGAGGAGGAGTCCTGTGAGGCTCTGGCTTCCGATCAGTGGGTGTCCCCTCCTAAAAAGCAAAGTCCAGCTGACCTCCCTCACTCTGACCACCGAAGCCCTCGTTACCTTTCTACTTCTTTCCTCAGGGTTCATGTCAGGAAATTGTTTTATCTGTGGTCTCCTGGGCCGCCTTGTTACCTACCCCTCTTTGGATAATTTCCTCCCATTATTCAAGTCTTCTGACAGGTCAATTCTATTCAGCAAGAACATTCCAGAAGGAAACAACACCAAGCAAAGCAAATGTTTCAATGCCTGTACCAACCTGGGGATGGGAAAACTCACTCCCACCTGCCAAGAAGTTGCAGTGAGAGTCCACAGTCTTGAGAAGGTGTCATTGGGAAATACCCAGCACCCTTGGGAGCTTCTGGGAAGAACAAGGAACCTCTAAAGAAAGCTAAAGTCAACTCTGTCACATTTTCCTGAGGCGCAGTCTTGTTTCCTATACCTCCCTGGCCTCTGAGACGTGGACAGGGAGTGTATGCAGGCAGGGGTCATCTGTCCCCCTGCTGTGTCTCTGAGAGCTTTAAGGTCATTTGAAACAAACAGAACTGGAACAGGAAATAACTGTACCCATGGCAGGGATCACTCATTGCGCTCTGCGTTCTTTCCTGCCAAGCTGAGACAAGCCTCCTGTCCCCAGCACTGCATTCCAGGTCACTCAGTCCATCACAGACGACATTCTCTGTGATATTTGTTGACATCCTGTGCTAAAAGCAATGACGCAAAATGCAGAAGGATGCATTGACCGTGTCCCCTCACATAAAATCAGTCTCCATTTAATCCTTACTTTTTAAAATTCTGACTTTAAAAAAGCAATCTGGAAAATTGAGAGTCCTTAGCTCCCTAGGATGCTTGATATTTTGTTCCAGGAAAGAAACAAAGAATGAAACTTTATTTATTTTGCAAACCACATATGAACTGAGGGGGAGATGAGGTTAACCACGCTTTTGCTGCTGAATCTTGGAACTGTGTTTGAAGGGCTGCCTTAATGCATCACAGAAACCCTTTCTCCTGCCCTCTTGGGCTCTTTTAAGAAGTCCTTGCCTTCTGAATTATGCAGATAATTTTAAATGCAGAGTTCCAGGCCAGGGAGGTCTCACCACACAACAAAAGATCAACTCTGTCATGTCAACCACTGCTGTCCTGGGACTGCCTGGAGCTCTGACCACATAGTCTTCCTGGTATACAACTTCCCCAGAGTCGTCAGCCCTTGCAGCACCCCTAACACGGCTTTTTGTTTTCACTGATATTTTGCATACTCATAGCCAACTTACGGTTTGCACTGATTCTCAGATATTTATGCCAAAATTGCTGTTTTCTGAATCATAACCATAACTTGCCTATTCTTCTGGCCACGTTTGTTGCTTTTAAGATCGTTTCTCCTTCTCAGAAGAGTCTCAATTTGCTTCTTTCTCTTTCTGTGTATCTAAGATCCTTTCTGAACAGAGGCCTTTAACCTTGATCCAAGCCTATCAAATGATGAACTGGAGATATTCTCAGAAGTAGAAGCGTTCTGGAATCTCACTTTGATAAAGCAATATTTTATGTTATGATAAAACAGTATGTTAGATAACTTCAGATTCCTGAAGAAACAAATTTGTCATTATGCCATTGAGTTTATATCTGAGAAATGCCCTAACCTGTACAATTGCACGGTGCACAAGGCACTTTTTAAAAAGACAGTTTCTTCTGACAAGGGACATGAAGTAATCACACTGATAAAGTGTTAATCCAAACACCTGGAACATTTTATTCCTACTCAATGTGTACCACCAATGTCTGGCAATTCCAAGAATTACTCTTAAACCCAAACTTAATTTTATGTTTCAGGTTATTGTTCGTTAGGAAAAAAAAACCCTCATTAATTTGTCCTAATTGAACAGCAAATTAGAGTATAATCTAACTTGGAAATTTTGTGAGTACCTGTAAGGTTTATTTCATTTTTGTCATTTTAAGCAAACTAGGTTAACAGTATTGCCTAGTGGAACTCCTAAGGAAACTTGTTTTAATAAATGTGCAAATACACCCATCAGTGGACGACTTTTTAGCCAGTGCTGTTATCCTCTCTCTGAGAATGGTGTTGATGTCTAGTCTGGACCAACCTCCGTACCCACAGATGGCAAAGTCCCCTCTGACTTCCATAGTTCTGGCAATGGAAATAATAGCCGTGTAAGTGATGCTTTAGAAAAATCCTTCTGTCTTCTTTATGTGGGTCATATAAACGTCACTTTACATCATCTCTGGACAAAGGCCTTATATTGAGTAAACATAAAATGTAGCCATCAGTCTCCTCTTCTTGCCAGACTTCGTGCCAATTCTGAACCTTATGGAGTGATAAAACTCGGTTTCCCACTGGGAAGACAGTGCTGAAATTCTCATAGTGGGGGAAATGTTGAAATCTTATACTGAATTCAATTAACACATGTGAGTTTTTCCACATTCGAAAATACACAGGATGGATTCTGGGGTTTTCTTTTCACAGCTACAACAAGCAGTCCAGAGCATTGGCTTCACTTAGAAACACATTTTTGCCATGTGACAATAGGCAGCAGAGTTGTTGGCTGTCGATAAAGACTTCAGTCGGTCTAATTGGTTATTAATAATTGCATAGTGCAATCAATCAATTGCCAAGATCATTTATTTTTCAAGCTGCTCTTTGGTGTTGCCTTGATACTGTCTTGTCTGGTATCAAAATTTAACATTCCTCTTAGTCCTCTTCGGGTATTTTATTTTGCTTTTTGCCCTCTTTCCTTTTCTAAATAACATGTCATGTTCATGACAGAATAATGATGTAAAATAGAAATTTTAGCGAACTCTGTGCATGCTCTAAGCTCTTTTTTGAGATGCTATTTTAAGAAATTAACTCTTAAACTAAGGGCTTACTATGACACGAAGACTTTCGTGTCAGCCTGTGCAAGATCAGGACAATATGGAGCTGGTGAAGGCCCTTAGGGCCAGGTGGTCTTGTTTACAGTTGGGCTTCAGTTGGTGCAGAGGGCTCAGGTCACCACATTTCTCAGTCTACACCCTATCACCCTCGCTGGCCTTTGGTATTTTGTCCATAAGGAATAGGGTTCTTGCAAAAAAAAAAAAAAAAAAAAAAAGCATAATTCTCAGGTTCCATTTCTTGGGTCTTCATGTAAAGAATCAGGTGAATGAAATGTAGCTACCAAGTGCACAGCATTTTTTCCAGGGTAAAAATCAGTTTGAGAATAGCAATTGTATTACTCTGACTTAGATGAAACCCCTGAAATTATAAATATTATCTGAAAACTCTGCACATTAATAAATGCCAATTTTCAGAAAGAACAGGGATGAACTACAGATATTCAACATGCTAAAAGATAATTGGGTAGCTGGGTGCTGGTGGCTCATGCCTGAAATCCTACCTACTCAGGAGACAGAAATCAGGAGGATCAAGGTTCAAAGCTAGCCTGGGGAAATAGCTTGTGAAACCCTATCTTGAAAATACCAACATTAAAAAAGGGCTGGCAGAGTAGCACAAGTGGTAGAGCTCCTGCCTAGCAAGTGTGAGGCCCTGAACTCAAACCCCAGTGCTGCCAAAATAAATAAATGAATAAATAAAAATAATTGGGTAGTTTAATAATTTAATACATGTGTATTTCATATTTAAAGTTAACTGAGCTGGGCATGGTGGTGCATGCCTGTAATCCTAATGCTGGGATCAAGCCTGGGGAAGTGTAGGTAGGAGGGTCACAGTTGAAGACTGGCCCAAGTAAAAAGCCACAACACCCTATCTGAAAAATAACTAAAACACAAAAGGGCTCGGGGTGTGGCTCAAGTGGCAGAGAAAACATGAGGCAATGAGTTCAAACGCCAGTATGGCTGAAAAAGAAGTTAGTGTAAAAAAGAATGTAAAAACAATACTGTGTTCAGCTTTTTCTTCTTCCTTCCTTCTCCTCCCCTTCCTTCCCTCTCTCCCTCCCTCCCTCCATTCTTTCCTTCCTTTTTCTCTTTGAGACAGAACCTTACTATATAGCCCAGACTGCTCTTGAACTCTCTGGGTAGTTCATATTGGTCTTGAACTCGTGAGCCTTCTGCCCCAGCCTCCTGAATGCTGGGATTCCAGGTTCTTTCATTTTGTAAGCAGTGTAAAGCATTTGCTTAGAAGGTCAGTTAGGTCATCATATGCCATATTTAACACCTACTTTTTGTTCTAGTAAAATACCAAATCTAGCTTGTAGCCCTCATATAAGAATTGTTCCATTGCAGTCTGAGGATACAGTCAGAGCACTTGCCTAGTGCATGAAAGACCCCAGGTTTGATCCCAGCACTGAGAAAAAAGAACTGGCCCATTGCTATTATTATAATTGATTTGTGAAATATTAAAATCTTAACACTGATTGGAAGGTTTTAGATTTTTTTCTCCTATCTTACATGCTGAGAATAACATACATATATAATATTTTTATGATTTGAAGTTTTATTATTGTCATATAATATATGTATATGTACAAATTATTCTAGTCTCAGCTATGTAGCTTTCTAATAAAAATAGGCATATGCATGTTTGTATGCTAAATTGCTCACTCAGCAATGCTAAATTGAAAAGCATTTCTAGCCAAGCACCAGTTGCTCATGCCTATAATCCTAGCTACTCAGGAGGCAGAAATCAGGAGGATCAAAGTTCGAGGCCAGCCTAGGCAAACAGTTCTCGAGACCCTATCTTGAAAGTACCAATCACACACACACAAAAGGGGGCTAGTGGAGTGGCTCAAGTGGTAGAGCACATGCCTAAGCAAGCATGAAGCCTTGAGTTCAAACATCAGTACAGCCAAAAGAAAAAGAAGAAAAGCATTTCTAAATTTAATTGACAAAGCACTATAAGAAAAGGACACCTCCCATGTTAATTTCTATATAATTGATGAATATTAATATTTAGAATAAAGTTTATTTGAAGGTAAGATATTTGTTTGCAAAAAAAATTTTTTTACTAAGAGTAAAGGGATGGATTACGCACTTTTCCAAAGGAAAATCTTTTTAATCTCTGTGACTACAAAAAAGAACTGTTACCTTCATACTTGCACTGTTTTGATCCATATACCTGTTTAAATAATGAAACAATTCAAAAAATTCTTTTTTTTTTCATTTTTCTTTTATTATTCATATGAGCATACAAGGCTTGGTTCATTTCTCCCCCCTGCCCCCACCCCCTCCCTTACCACCCACTCCGCCCCCTCCCTCTCCCCCCCCCCAATACCCAGCAGAAACTATTTTGCCCTTATCTCTAATTTTGTTGTAGAGAGAGTATAAGCAATAATAGGAAAGAACAAGGGTTTTTGCTGGTTGAGATAAGGATGGCTATACAGGGCATTGACTCACATTGATTTCCTGTGCGTGGGTGTCAAAAAATTCTTACAGAATTGAACTTGCTTTATCTAAAATTGTGTAGCCTAAAATTTAAGTGGGCTTTCTGCATGCCTATCATATGATTTTTGTCTTAATTCTTCCTTACAAAACATTTTTAAATGAAGGAATGAAATTTTAGTTGTTTATGGGAATATAGTTAAAAAAAAAAACACTTTTAGTAAGAAACCAAAAAAAATTTAGAGATGAAACTTCTTTTTCCTAATTACCAACTTTTCTTCATGGCTTTCATTCTAACCTCATCTTCCACACCTTGACACTATAACAGAGCCAGGCTAAATGACAAGGTCATAACATGTAAAGAACATAAAGAATCCATTCTAGAATAAGGTGCATTCTTTGAGGTCAAAGACCTGTTGATACATTGGCAAACAAGGAGCAAGAAGATTCCTCCCCAAGTCCCAACTAAAGTGCAGCAAGATCCAGTGTGGCATTTCTTTCCCATTTCAACCAAAACTTAGTGGTAGAACAGATCAGACTGGAAATGGCTGGATCCAAACATCAGACAGTCTCATGGAGAAAATGACCAAGAGATAATAATAATCTTGATAGGTCAGTTAGGAATTAAGTTCAGCTTCTAATACCAGAGATACAAAATAAAGTTTTTTCAAAGGTAGTGTATTTCTCACCCACACAAGAGTGCAGAGGTGAGTGGGTAGGTAAACTCCATAGTCATCAAGGACCTGGCTCCTAACCACCTGTACCTTCACTGGTGTAAGGCTTCTATCTGCAGGGTTGTCACATGGCCTGAAATGGTGGCCTGAAATGAATATTCAGAGTGATATTCACAAAAAGAAGGAGGTAGAGGGAACTGGCCCAAGAGTGAGCCTCCCAACCAGGTCAGCTGCTGTTGGAAAGCCTTGCTTCCAACCTGGTGAAGCAACTCTGCCCACAGCCCATTGACCAACCTATCTTCAAGGTGGCTGGGAACAGAGGTCTCTGTGTTGGTGCATTATTGTATCCAACAATACTGTGTTCTGTTTCACAAAGCAGGTGTCTGGTGATAGCAATCCTAGCCATGAGTGCTGAGCACTCAACATCTATCATCTCATTTTAATCCTAATAATGTATTTATTAAGTAGTTTAGAGAACTTATAAACTTGTCCCACACTTCCCCAACTTGGAAGCACATGCATTTATCCACTGTGTTGCACGCATCCCCAACAGCTGGCAATAGGAGCATTTTTCAGTAAGGTGTCAGTCTAGTCAAGGAGGCCTGGAAGTGTGCTCAGCCTGAAATAAGAAGCAATAGAGGCTGCAGGATGACAGTGAAGGCAGGACTCCCAAATCCAGAAGAAATGATAGCTCCCATGCTGGGGAAAGAGCAGGGCTTGACACAACAGAGATAAGGGAAGAAAAAAAAAAAAAACCCTCTACTTCCTGCTGATAGTGGTGCAGGGATTAAGTGGAAAAAATAAAACCCTCTCTTCCCAGGGCAGAAGTAAAGAGGAACTGAGTTGTCCTCATTAAGGATGCAATGGAGAGACATGCCAAGATACCCTCAGGAACAGGTGTTCGTTCAGTGGTAGAATTTGCAAGAATTTAGAGTAGCCTGAAATATCACCTCTTTCACAGCCACAGTCATTTTGGCTATCAGAACCCCCAAGCCTGGCATGTACACAGGACTTATGGAGGCCAGGAAGAGTTTGGAATTCAGCCTGAGCTCAGGGGGACCTCCTCAGAGAAAATCTGATTGTATTGGTGTTTCAGCCATCTGTTGCTACCTCCCTCAACAAAGCACCTCAAAACTTAGTTTAACACAACAGAGCCCTTTGTTTTGTTTTGTTTTGTTTTGTTCATGGCGGGGTTCGGTAGGAATGGCTCATTTTCTTCCACAAGGTATTCAGCTGGGCAGCTCAACTGGGGCCAGGGGTTGTACTATCAGATGGTTCACACGCAAGGCTGGCAAGTTCAGCTGTCTGATAGGAGCCCAGATAGGTTTCTGGGCCAGGGAACCTTCGTTCCCACCATGAAGGTTTCTCCATGAACTTTTAGTCTTCTTCAGGGTATAGTTGCTGGATTCTAAGAAGAGAAGAGAAGGTGGGAAAAGAGGTTGTTGCAAGCTAATTGGACAATATGATCTGCCAAAGTTGGTGTGTCTCCAACAATATGAAAGAAACATCTTAGGTAATTCATGTCAAGTAACCTCAAGGATATTTGACCTCCCCTGAGTACAGTGCCTATGTAGCTGTCTTGGCTTGGACTCAGGTCTCTGGTCCAATAATCCATGGTGAGTGGTTGAACAAGTTTTTCCAACTGCATAAGGCATGCACCAAGCACAGAGTGAGTGGTAGGTAGACTAGACACATTCATGGCTACTTAGATATAACATGGAAATGGGAGCAGATTAGATTGTAAGTGTCTTGAGGACAGGGATCATGTCTCAACCTCT